AATACAAATAAGAGTAATATAATGAACAAATTAGTTCTAATATAAAAATATTATTAAAATAATTTTGGACAATTTTGGACAATTTTGGACAGTTTTTTTTGGACAGTTTTGGACATGTCCAAACTGTCCAATTAAAAAATTTAATTGGACATGTCCAATTCCCATCACTGGGTTAGGGTGTGTTTGGAATTGGGCAAGGTATAACTTATACCAAGATTTCACAAAGAATTTTTTTGTTAGGGGTTTCATAATCAAAATTTTGAGATATCTATATTGCCTATATATATACACCCCCGTATACAAATAGAAATTGCCTAAAAAAAATGCACCCAAATTTTGTATTTTTCGATGGCTTGTTTTACTTTATACAAAATTCATTTTAATCTGATTTCATTTTAATCTGCCACATAGATTAAATGATCTAAATGATTAGCTATTTTCTTTTTGCGAGTTTGTATTACTAATGAAAATAAAAATTTAAGGTCGCATCTTTGCGTTGTTTTTTATATCTACCACGTTATTATTTTTTCTTTTTTACATGTTTTTTATATATATTTTTTTAAACGTGATTTTCAACTTAATATATATAAATCGATCAAGAAGCCTATATATATATATACGTCTAATTGACTTTGATATTGAGGTGACAAGAAACGATGCCTAGAGCATGGATGGAAGACTAGCCATGTTGTCGGATTAAAAAAAAATCTCACCGTTCATAACATATCCGTGAAATACTAGCGAATCATAAAATACTGAATATGTGGGTAATATTGTTTTTGGCTCTTCTGTTCTTTCTGAACCAATTGTTCCTTTTGGCCAACTATCAAAACTAACACGAAACCTGATACAACCTATCGAAGGACACTTAGACTTGGCAACAAATAGATATTCAAGATTTCGACTGTCTCGATATGATTGATTGTAGCGAAAGAATCGATATGATTGATTGTAGCGAAAGAATCGATATGATCTATCAGCCACTTATAAAAATAAAAATAATTATCTCGATCAAATCCAAGAGGAAGTTTTTAATAACGGTAAACAGCTAATCAATTTTACTTTTTAGTATATGGGATCGTCAACTTTTATTTACAATTTTTGTATTACCAGAATACGCTATAATTCAACAATTTGATATCAATTGTACTTCAGTATGGTGTACTTTCTACCTACGACAACCACTGGTTCCTATGCCGGCCAAAAGATAACCCAACCGAACAGCAGATTTCACCTACTCCGCCATTTGGTTCAATTTCACCACCAGTTCTAAAGGCATACGCCTATCTCATTCATATTGCAAAAGATGATCCTGAACCCCCTCACCCGGATATAATTCCTGAGTGAATGAGGAAGACTAGTAGTTGCAAATCAAGTTTTAATGCAATAGTTCTTATGATTAAATTACTTTGATCACTAAAGAAGGAAATGATTTTTCAGTAAAATTTAATGGGAAGTCTGTGACAGTTTTAGATCAAGATAGTTCATTGTACGTAGGACAAGAGCATGATTAAGAGTATATATGAGTGTCGCTAAAAGAAAACCCGAAAATTTAAATATAAATCATATTTAATTTTCGGGCGACACATTTACATAAAATAGTTTCACCTAAAAACTATAATTACATGATATACAATGTCACGCGACAGTTTGATTTTTTTTTTCAAAATTTTAAAAACAGTTATCACGGAAATTATCAAAATAGATTCATCATAGAGTACATTTATCGTTCCTAATATATCTTTGTTGCTACGGTATTAAACTTAAATTTTTATTTAAATTTTAAAATAATCGTTGTAATTAATCTTTTTATTCTATTAAAAAAGATCCGTACGAATTTTTTAGGTTCCTAATTGCATGTTTTGTTATCAGTATACATCAGATCCTCTAATGCAACTTCTCTAAACGAAAACCCATGACTCTATTTGGCCCAACCCATATGATACTTATGACTTTTACTTCCTTAAATGTAGTATCTCTCTAAATGCAAGATTTACCAATGTTTTCATATGTCCCTTAGTTATAAATTTAGAGAGAATTTACCGTAACGGTAATTTGCAATTTATAAATAGATCCTTAATATTATTCAAGAACTACTCGATATATTGAACCTCATTTTTTTCGTCTTAGATCATCAAATGGCCCGTAATTATTTCTTAATTAAATAAACTTTCGTTCTAATTGAGCTTCTAAAATGTTAGCTTACTAATTAAGTATACCCATAATTTTATGTAATTATTGTTGTAGTTTAATTAAATCCTTAGGGGAGGGACAAAAATCAGGCGATTTCAAGTTACTAACCGCCTAATTCAAATACTGTCGGCCCTCCCAAAACCGATCCTGTCAAAACCGATAACCTGCCATAAACGATTAAAATTTTGCCCACCATGTCGGTTCCATAAGTAATATCCGATAACCTGTCATTTCTGATATCCGATAGCCAATTTATTTAAGTTTTCGATATTGTTGATTATAGTCGCATGAGACTCAGCCAATCAAATTAATGATGGGGTATAATATATGTGGCGCAGATTTCCCAGGCTACAAATAAGATTTCAGTACGTTTTATCGCAAATCGCTTATTTTTCAAATACCTGATAAAAACCTTCTTTAATTCTCTAACGAAAAGTTTTTCTTGAGCTAGCATCTAACCCTAACATTAATGAGCTTTTCGTTATTGGAAATCTGCGCCACGCACACCAATTCTGCAATTTGATTGGCTGATTTCCGACCATTTGATCATGTGGTTTTTTCAAATCCGATAACCTCCTATTAGCCAATTAAATTAACTACAAAAATATAGAACCTGATCGAATCACCCCCTAAGAAATCAACAGATTTCTGTCCTTCCCCTTAACATAAGCCATATGTTGTTCAACCTGAGTTTTTGAAGTGTTAAAAACCTTTACAAGAACTGATAGGTTGACAGTTTAATAAAAAAAAAAAAGAATTAAAACAAGAAAATGATACTTATATTGCTCGACCAAATCGTAAGCATCAACCATCAAAATCCGTTGAATATTAAGCGTGAAATTGGATTGTGGACTCTGGATTAAAATTTTTTAAATTTTGTGTGGTTATATCGTTTTTGATTGCAATATTGGTTATAGTCCTCTCTAACCAAAATAAAATACATCGCTTGTTGAGATAAAAATAACAAAGATAAAAAATGGAACCGGTAAAATGTTCGTAATAGACGATAGTTATATAATATTAAAAAAAAATAAACAGAAAAGCTGCATATATGTTTTTATTAGTACGGTCAAACTTCCCTAAATACAAGTTATACAGATCACATAGAATCTTGTATTTAAAAAGTATTGCACTTAGAAAGGTAAAAATCTATAAGTATATATAGTAAAGCCACAACAAGACCGTGCATTTAGGGATATTGCATTTAGAGAGTTTGCATTTAGAGAGTTTGCATTTAGCGAGGTTGCATTTAGGGAGGTTCGACTATAATTAGATTATACGCAAACTTAAAAAAAAAACATTGTTTGTAGCTAATTTTAATACAAACTGCAAATTGAAGTATATGTTCGCAGTTTGCTGTTATATTAGCAATTTAATACAGGTCATTTGCATATAGTGCACCAAGAAAACAAACAAGCAAATAAAAAAAGTATATAGGGCTAAAGGAAATATAAAACAATAACCTTTAGCCTCACGAATATAAAAAAATATAAGCTACCTGCTCTAGTAAAGAATAAAAAATAGAGCAGGTTATTAAAAAGATTATGTTTATTAACGACTTGGTGCGAATATTGCAAATGATTCAAAGAGAACAAAAGCAAACATCAAAAGTTTTTAAATCATTGGTGTGCCAATAGAATGTGAATTGCCTAAATCTGCAGCGCACATGTTTCTCACGCCCCTTTGTTTTCATCAAACGCGTTCACAAACTTACATCCGTAACTAGTATTTTTGCAAATACTGATTAGTGTAAATGATTGGTAGATCAAGGGATTTCCACCGTCGACTTGGCGGTAACGATAAATTAAAATTTTTAGATTATTATCAGGGTTGTCAGTGGTAAACTTACCGTGGTAAGTTACCATGAATTTTTGATAATAAGTTGTCAAATGCCTGCAACAACCGAGTAAAATTCACCACCTAAATTTTTTTTCATACCATGTGATATAATTCGAATGATATCATAAAACGATGCACTTAAAATCATACCCGGTTGCTTGCAACCATTATCGAAAGTGTTCGTGATGATATAATATTATACGTATCGAAAGCTTATATATAGAGATCACGAATCACGAATATTATTTATGCAAAATATACATCGTATCACTTAAAAAAAACGAGACCATGTATAGGGACTTTTGATTGATACACCCGGTTTATGTTGTGCCTCATAGCATTTTTGAATATGTAATGCGTAGTTAATAAAGTATATATAGTAGAAATTAAGATGGTATATATAGATCGTAAAAGAAATTCTTTTAAGAGATTTTACCTATAAACTATACTAACTTTAGCATGAAAAAAGGGATAACTTATAAAAGATAAATTTTATAATAATACATGTTTCGTAAATTTTCTTAGCTTACATCTATACAAACAATGATGCGTATATGTACAGTACTTGCATGCTAGTTTATACAATGCATATTTCTATATACCCTGCACTCGTCGGATGCAACCCTACCTAAATGTACGTACATACGCCAATTTTCCTGTTGATTGGCCATCCGAGGTGTGTAAGGACGCAAGATAAATGAAATGCAATAACGTCATTACGAATAAGGGCATAAGAAAAAGCTTTAAGATTGCCCTATTTATCGTCTTTATTTACCTTTGACGTTAGCCATATTTCCCCTTTATTTTTTTGCTGGCTTTATATCTCTTCTTATTCGACTTTTGCTTAGTCTTTTTTTGCTTAGTTCTTGGCACCCCCTTATTTCTCCTTCTGCATTCAATGTTGGTTTAGTTGTTGCCATACTGTTCACATTCGACATTGGCTTATTTAGCTCCCCTTTTTCTTTGATTCAATGCTGTTGTATTATTTTTTATTTTTGGTTTATTTTATTTTATTATTATTTTTTTTTTTACTGGAAAAATATATAACTTTTCAAAACGAGTGAAAGCCTTAACAGATTGTGAACTTTTAAATAAAATAATGACAATTCTTTTTAGCACCCAAAACTTCTCTTTTTATTGTATGTTAATAAAATGTAGCAATTTGACAAAGCAATTAAGCGGATTTATAATCTGCAAGATCGTATTTATAACTTATTAACCATTTTAATAAGTAATAAATTTGAAAATGGTGTTTTTTTTTTTTTGGTTAAATTGAAATCGTTGAAAATTTGCGTCAGTTTATAAGCGTCGACGCAAGAATGCATCTGAACACAACATATACAGCATATATGAATAAATAATGATAAATAAAATTGATTCAACTACAATTTGGAATTTTTTTTTGTACCATGAGCCATTAGTTTTTAAAAAAATTAGTGCATAACGGTAATTAAGTGTCATGCACTGCATAAAGATAGTAGAGTAGAATAGAATTATGTATCTAATGGCGATAACGATTTACCGTACCAATAGCTGGACGAAAAATTAATAACTTGCAGTAAAATCAATTACGATTGATTCTGGCTAACCGAATTTTGATTATATAAATTAACTTTATTCAGTAAGAATAAAAACATATAAATTGATATCTCTATTTTCTTTATCTTCTAAAACTAAAATTATCTCTCTCTTAAAATCATTTAACCGGATCAAATTCTCAATATAATCCTTCAAAATGAAGTCATCAATTACCCTTCTTATCTTTATTGTTTGTATCCTTGCCTTAGAATTTTCAAAGGTCGATGGCTACGTTGTCAGAGGGTTATATAATGGTGGTGACCGCTTTTATAGAAATTCGAACGGCAACAGCAAGAAGGGCTCCAAAAATTAAGCCTGTAAGTTAAACTTCTGCATTCTACTTTCTTTTGATTGTTTATGATTCATAATATCAGAAGACAGATCAATTCTATAGCATTTATTTTTTCATTGTTTGATTTAATCACGAAATTTTAGGCCTTTAAAATAACGGACTATGGTTTTACGGATGACAAAAAATGTTTATTTTTGTAATTACAAAAAAAAATTCAGAATTAAAAATATAATTTGAGCTATTTATATAAATATACAGTACAAATATTTAAATATTAATTATATGTTCAAAGATTAAAGCGAATATGATACTTAAACTTAGAATACATGTAGAGTTAGTCTTTATTTTGATGATAAAACAGTGATAAAAAAAAAAAAACATGAACAAGCACATCATGAGATGTATAAGCAGTGGGATATAGACGCGTCAAATCTCAACTATTTAGATAGTCATGTGTTATTATTATTTTTTGGGTGTAGCATCTTTATTTTAGAAAGATAATTAATTAATATAAAAATCAATTTAATACACATAAATCGTTCAACTTTTCTACCGGATACCATGGAATATTAAATTAATTTTATTAAAAAATTAATCTATATCAAAAAAAAACAAACTAAAAAGTACTAATTTATTTGTTGAATATTGGAGTTTAGACTTGAAATTTTCAATATATATATATATGTTTATATAAAATAAATTCAATTTAAATTCTAGGAATTAGTCGATCTTAATTGGTCTTGCATATTACTTGCGTATTTCGTAGTCGTATAATATCCTATATTTATACCGGTATTAAAAAAAAAAAGGATAAAATAAATAAATTGCATCATAATTGAAAAAACAAACAAGGACATTCACAGTAACTGTGGTTGTGAAGAGCTTCTACAACGATTAATACCGATTTCTCGTTCACCTGACCCTTTTAAGGTGTAATTACCAGAAGTAATTGTCTTAATTAGTCGGTCCTGCGAACATGAAATCAAAATCTTAATCATGGTAATAACCCCTAAAACTATTAGAAAAAAAAGACGTTTATAACAAGCTATTTATCATAGGTCCCAATGCCTAACTAGTAACTGCCGCAAGTTGTAGCCCGAAGTGCTTCTATTATCTTCAACTTCTGATTAAAGAGTTGCGAATAAATACATACAATCAATCAGCAACTATTTAGTTACTGTATCATAAACTAGATGTAATTTTCATAGCAGCGAAAACAACCTAAACATCTAACATGTTTACGTCGAGTAGACGATTAATCATAAATAAAAAAATTAATTGATATCAAAACATAAAAATAAATCGTAAATTATTCATAATATTAATTTTACCTTAAAATAGAACCACAACGTATATTACCTTGTATGTATTCACGGTTTGACATAGTTTTTTGAAAATAATTTTCTATATATCAGTTTTGATTATTGATCTGTCTTATCAAAACAATTTTTTTATTTGATCGTCAAATCAAGTGATGTATGATCGATATCTTTTTTTTGTATCAAAAAAAAAAGTGATTCTTACGTAATTTCTTGTAAATATCAGATAAGCATAGAGGGCTTTAGTTCTGATTGGATGATCAGATATGTTATACAATATGTTCTACATATTTCACAAGCACAAAAATAAATTGTTAGCCACGAATACGAATTGTATATATCTTGTTTTTAAACTTTCAAAATAATTCAGTAATCTGCAAAATAATTTAGAAGTTAGATGAGAGGCATGTTTGAATGTTTAAATTTAGCCTATAGATACAATAATTCAGTAAAGTTGACAATTTAAGTTGTCTTTATTGTAAAAACTTATTCTTCATAACATAACTAATAAAAAAACCTGACTATTATCTAGGCTAATAACAAATAATATAAAATTCCGAGTTATGTATAAAGTTTATAAAATTCATGAAAAACATTAAAATGAAATATATAGTGTATTATAACTATATAATGATTATTAAATAAAAATAAAGATCAATTTGATATTAAAACAAATGGGAGGAAAATGACCCTCCGAGGCTATGTTGATTTTGTGAATAAACATTAAATTTGCCAACCATCTAGTTATCCAATTTGAATGAATTTTTTTTTATTTTGTAGATTCTATTGAGATTTACAAAATAAAAAAAAAAGTTTATTCAAATTTGATGCTAGATAGCTGGCAAATTTAATTTTTATTCAAAAAATCAACATAGTCTCGGAGGGTCATTTTCCTAGCAAAGATCCCAAATACTAAGAATTATTTCAATTATTTTTTGTGATTTCAATTTTTAGTCTAAATTAAGCTCAATTTAGACCAAAATTTAAAATAATATACTTTGGTTCATGTTTACATCTTTTACCTCAATAGCTTATTCAATAAACTATTGAATCAATAAAGATAAAAGATGGTTTACACGTAAACATAAACATGAACCGGAACTTGGGTGTTTTTGTCCGAATTTGCCCGATCGGAAATGTCTAGTACCCTAGTCATCCAGAAAAAAAAGTGGCAGTCACGTAATTTCTGCCAATCAGCAAAAATCAAAACAATCGTATAAGTGTATAATTCGAAGTAATAAACCTTATTGTTAGGGTTAGAATTTTGGTTTGAATATAGCATAATATATACAAAAATTTAGCGAGGAATTTTTTTTGTTAGTACGCAGAAGATAATTTCATAAGCGAAATTTCGAGTTATTGACGATTTTTCAAAAAAAAACAAAAAAAGCGTGATTTTGATGTTACACCTGATCTTTCTATCTAATTGGCCAGATTTCGAAAAATCACGTGTCTGCCACTTTTTTTTCTGGATGGCTAGGGTACTTGGAAGGAGGGTGATTTTTAAAGCAAAGACCCGTATATGATCGTTATCGTTATACAAGAGTCGCGTTAACCTACCTAGTTTTATAAATTAAATCATAGTTTGGTCTAAACGTAAACGTGATTACATATAATATGATTATATGGGAGGTGACTATATGGTATTCATTTTCTACGTAGATAAATCGACACCACAAGAAGAGCATAGCAGAAATAATTGTCTATAAATGGCCTTGGTTTGCAAAAAAATTAATAACAATGACCTAATTCACAAGATTCTCTGGAATAGTTACGTAGTCTTTATAATATTAAACTATTGCCAGAATAATTATTATATCATAATATCGATATCGATATTTGGACATATTCCTCTGACTGTGACGTTACGGTTAGCCCTATTTTAGTAGCCAATATAATTTCGTTATTTCTTGATTAAACGATCAGTTAAAATTTCATTAGTCTTATTTTAGTAACCAATAGACGCTTATGTATTTCCTATTAAGCGACGGTTTAATATATTCCGTAGTGTAGTCTCATTGAGAGAAGAGATGAATTATTAGACAGCGTAATCTTATTGATAGACAGTAAGGAAATAGATTTACCTGTGAAATATGAATAAAACACGTTCCTTAGAGGGAGGGAGAATTATTCGAAGTAAATGCTGTGATTCACGTGATGTGGTAAGATCTTATACATATGTATTCCATAGTACTGTATATAGTATAGAAACCTATTGCCGTATTTACTCAAAAGACCCGGAGCGTTATTTTGGATAAATATAGTACATGGTGCGAAATTACGAAAGTATGGAAAAATTGCTATTAATCAAAGTCTATCGTGATTTAATCACATAATTTCTATATGTGTGATTCGGGAGAATGAAAATATAGAATTTATCTTTATTTGATATCAAATTTTTTTTAAGATAAATTATGTCTATGTGGGAAAATGATACGTATTGAAAAAATATATATTTAACCATTTACAGAAAGATTGATTATTTAATCTATAAAATGAGCACAGTAAGCTTTAACAAATTGATAAAAATTATTGTAGTGTTATTTATTATAGTTTTTTATTTATCGTACCAAAACACGACATATCAGGTATTATATACAAGATATCCATCCGCCGTTAACTATGGTAAAAATTTATAAGGAAAGTGGCAGATGTTGATATCCAATCATTACGTAAGATCTGCCACCTTCTACATTTTCATTCCATTGAATTATTAATCAAAAAATCTCCGAAATATTTAAATGCACCGATTTATTTCGCGTTATTCAGAAACTTTAAAAACATTGATAGAAGTCAAAGACCCAATCGTATCCGCAAGAAATCGCACTTTACAACTTTTAAAAACATTCTCAACTATGCCTCCTATTGCAAAAAGTAGCCATTATGACTATCTTGTTATTGGTGGAGGTAGTGGTGGTTTAGCTTCAGCCAGGCGCGCTGGTTCATATGGCTTTAAAGTTGGCATAATAGAATCAAGCGGTAGACTAGGTGGAACTTGTGTTAATGTCGGTTGCGTTCCTAAGAAGGTCATGTTTAATACTGGTAAAATTGAAAGGACATACTATGTCAAAATTGCATTGTTATTTTACTAATATTTTAATATCACACAAATATGCTTAGCTTCTGTCGCTGAAGCTTTACATGATGCGCAACAGTATGGTTTTGATCTAACATCGATCCCCCAGTTCAATTGGAATCTCCTTAAACAAAAACGTGATGCATACATTAAACGCTTAAATTCCATTTATGTTAATAACCTCGTCAAGGATAATGTTGAATACATTGAAGGAAAAGCAAGTTTCATATCAAAAAATGTGTTAAGAGTAGAACGTGATGGACAAGTCGAGGAAATAGAAGCGAAAAAAATTCTAATTGCCACTGGTAATTCGTCTTTTTTTCATATTCTAATATTGAAATTATTATATTTTTATTAACAAATTTATAAATAGGTGGTCGTCCTCGCTTGCCATCTGAAATCCCTGGCTTTGAATTGGGAATTACAAGTGATGGTTTCTTTGATCTTGAAGAACAACCTAAAAAAGTTCTTGTCGTTGGTACAGGATACATTGGTGTTGAACTTGCTGGAATATTCAACACCTTAGGTATGCTTTTACCTTAGTTCTTTTATTATGAATTACTAATGTGATATTGATTTCTGTATAAATCTTCAGGAACAAATACATCTTTGCTCAGCCGTTCGGATGAAATTTTGCGTACATTTGATCCAATTATCAAAGACACACTCCTTGAACAGTCAAAAAAAGAGGGTATACGCGTTCTAACGCATGCCAAAGTAAAATCCCTATCACGTGATTCGCCTTCTGGTCCCATAAAAGTTAGTCTTACCTCAAAGGAAACAAATGATACGGTAGAAGAATTTGATACTCTTCTGTGGGCTATTGGAAGGGATCCGAATGTTGATCTAAATTTGGATGTTACCGGCGTTAAACTAAATAATAAAGGGTATATTATTAGTGATGAATATCAAAATACCACTGCTGAAGAAATATATGCTTTAGGTGACGTATGCGGGGTGGCGCAGTTAACACCTGGTAGGTAATTGTGTTGCTTAATGTGTAATATATTATTGTGTTAACCTTTTTTTTTCAAAAAATCTAGTTGCTATTGCTGCAGGGAGACGTTTATCTGATCGTCTCTTTGGTCCTCCAAAGTTTAAAGAAAGTAAACTTGATTATAACAATATTCCAACTGTCGTATTTCATGGTACTTGTGGAACCGTTGGCCTGACAGAGCCTGAGGCAAGAAAGAAGTTTGGAGATGAAAATGTCAAAACTTACACTTCTAAATTCGTAAATTTGTACAATGCTATGACTGAACAAAGTATATTATATTTTTTAAAGAAATTTATTTTATGCATAAAATCAACAATCGATTAATCTTTAAAATTCTTTAATAGAACCCGCAACAGCATACAAACTTGTCGTAGTGGGTGAAGAAGAAAAAGTTGTTGGTGTTCACCTCCTTGGAAGAGATTCTGCTGAAATTGTAATTATACACTTACGTTGGTCTTTTCTTGTTCACTTGATATTTCCAGAAATCCAATGACGATATATTTTTCCTATTTTATAGTTACAGGGATTTTCGGTTGCTGTTAAAATGGGCGCTACGAAAGCAGATTTTGATAATACAGTTGCAATCCATCCTACTGCCGGAGAAGAATTGGTAACATTTTATTTAAGTTTATAACAATGTTTTATTAATTCTTTATTAGTTATTTTTCACAGGTTAACTATGTAATTATTTTTTTCTATAGGTAACAATGAAATGATGTTTTGGCGAAAACGTGTTGAATTGATTCTTTATTGAAAAATAGACAATGTATTGTATAAAATGCAATGATTATGCAATAATTATGCAATAATTAATAAAGTTACAAAATTTATAGGGCTTATTTATTTTACTCTATTTATTATTTTAAGACTTGGCCATATAGTAATTTAATCTCACATGTAAAATTGTAGTATCGCGTGATCTTCCGTATGTATGGTGAACACAAGTAAAAAGTTCACTTCGACAAAATTTACTATGTAGTTTACGATTTTTACTAAAAGATTACTGAATTTCCTTTTGAGAATTCCGGCAAAGTTAGGAATAACTGTTTTTCCTCAATAAATCTAGATAAATTTTGAGATGGCCAAAATGGTCAAATATTTTATTTAAAATTATACTTAGAAATTCATTATAGCTAAATAGCGATGGAGATAAATTTGTAATTGTGGTAATCATGTTATATAGATAAGGTTTGTGATTGGCTACATACAATATAATAATTTAATTCGCTACTATGTAAAATAATGTCTCGTAGTTCAAGATCCTACTTTTAATACTCCACCGCGTTCCCAAAATGTCATTAATAAACCAAAATCTTCATAAGCAACTTCAAAAAAGTCTATTAATTCAGCCTTGGTACAACATTTTGACAGGTCGGTTTTTGACGCGTCCTAATGTCCCCGTGTACAAACACGTAACGTACAAATAATATTTCTCGAAATAAAGCATAACGATAATAAAAAATCATTCATCGGGTGTAACGTAACACGATCAGGAAAATTCAAAGAAAACGATCGTTTTGTCAAAAATTGCTTATTTCCGAGAATTCGCATAAGAAACCACCTTTAATGCTCTAACAAAAAGTTTTCCTCGAGTGATTTTATTATATGTTTATATAGATTCTAACATAGACACTAACCTCGCCGTTAATGTTTTTACTAATTTACCCCCAGGTTTCTGATTGGCTAGATTTGTTTACATGTTATCTTCTTTTTAAAATATGACGCC